AGGAGGAAGAGGGAGATTGGTCATGCGAGGTCAAGGGCCAGCGCATTTTGCTTTGCGTATCCGAAAACCTGTTATAGTCATGAGGTCTGAAAGATCACTGACAAAATACTAACTAAAAGCGCCAAATGCGCAGAGACCGGCACTCAGATCCTCTCGGTAAGAAAAACAATCCAGGGAATTGATGATGATACAAAAACAAAATCAAAAAAGACAAGAAAATAAGGAAACAGGAAAAAAAACGAACCAAAATTTACACATAATGTTGGCGCCACGTTTTAGTGGCCAATCTTATGGGACTTGATTTGTTTTTATATTTTCATGCTGGTTCTTTTTTTGTCTCTCCTCTTCCTCTTTCTTTTTTTCGTCGTCCTTCTTTTGTTCCTCGTCTTTCTTTTTTTCCTCCTCCTTCCTTTTCTGCTCTTCGAGGGCTGCCTTTTTCTTGGCTGCCTTATCGGAAAACACCTCGTACGCCTGTTGGTCGGATGAAACTCGGGAGTTAGCAAGCGGCTTGAAGTTGTGGACGCCGTACTAACCACGGCTCTTCTTCCTCTTCTTCATCCTCTTTGTCCTCCTGCTCTTCTTGTCCAAGAAAAGAAAAGGCGAGGGATAAAACCTACCTCGTCCAAGTCCTGATTGACCTTCTCAATTCGATGCAAGTCCTCCTTCATAATTTGCCCGTTGTACTTGGTTACGTTAGAAAAGAAATCCTGGGCATGTGTTTGCGCCTGCAACATGGATCGGTAACTCTTGTCGTCATCCTCCGACAGGGACTCCCACTGAAGTAAGGCGTCTTTGGATTTGTTGAGAATCGTGTCGAGGTGCTTGTTCTCCTTCTCCCAATGTTTCATGCGTGCCTGGTAGACCGACTTAGTGCGGTTCCAGAATCGCTCAACATCCTCCGAGTACGTCGTCTGGGCCAGGGGTTTGTTCCACTTTTCTGCCAGCTGCTCGGATCTGTCTAGCCATTTATTCATATGCATCTCACGACTGGCGAGACCGGCAAAATGGACGAGAAGATCGCCGGGATGAACCCATGGTGCTGCGGCGTTTTCGTCTTCGGTCGGGTATGCATTAAACCACTGTCAGCAGAAAAAGAAGAGAAAAGAAAAAAAAGGGGCAAATTGGACGCGTTAGCCAGTTGTTACTGTTTGCGGGAACAAAGGCAGCTGAATAGGGGATGAACCTACTCGCTGTGGAACTTTGGCAACATGATTGACGGACTTGCGCTTCTTCAGCAAAATCTCCATGGCACTCTGGTCCGCGAAATTCAGATGGGTGTCTGGCTCGAAATCACGGAATGCAAGGATACCGGCGAATAGCTCAGCCGACCAGCGTGTCACTCGAATGCCGAAGATACCGTTGTTGAGGCCATTCCAGTCATCGGCAATCAGGACGTTGATTCTCTTCAGAACGGCGTCGTCTTCGGGCGGTAGGAAGATCTCGAGGGGGATGTTATAGTTGAGAATTACGGTATCGGCATCAAACCAAAACAGCCATTGAAGTCGCTGGCTTTCAGGTTTCCGCAGCTCCCGCAGAATCATGTAGTGAATAAAGGCGGGCTTTGTCCAGTACCCGTCCAGCACGTCCACGCGCTGGATGAACAAGGGATAGCCATGTTGTCGATTGTGCCGTTTGTGACTCTGCAAGGCCCGCTCGTAGGTGGGTTTAGTAGCACCGTACAGAATGCTGACTTTGCCGATGCGGGCTCGCTCATCGTGCACGTCGGCTGTGTTTGGCTCGCGGTCAGTATCCCCGTTGAATCGGCCTCGAGCCGTCGATGCTCCGCGGCGGTAGCGCCGCTGCCAACGGGCAAGAAAAGACGGGACAAGAACGAAAGAAGCGGGTTTGACGAACCGTTTGTTCCCAGCTGGGACAGCCCGGGACGTTGGAAGTCGAGCCATGTTGCCCTTGAGCCGAAAGAAAGCTGATAGCCGATCAAAGTGACCAAAAGGACCAACAACCCCAGGATGATCCGCTGTGCCCTAGGGTGTGATGCACGAAAGGAGACAAGCTTTGTGCTCGACATCTTCCGGTACAAGTTGTATGTGGAGAACTATACTATAACCAAATACATTCTGACGAGCCAAACTTTGGGCAGAATTCACCATTATGGGGGGATTTAAGCCCAAAGCAGGCATTTACGCGGCTCTAGCTGGCGTACTATATAAATATTCTCATGAACGGTGTTTTACGGAGTTTTAGACAGGAATCCCTGAATTTAGGTGGAGTTTTGCAAACAAATTGGGCTTGCTTGTCCCACTTTTGCGACTTTGTACGCGCCACAAAGTCTGTCGACGTTCGTGGATCACACACCCCTAGCAGTCAAAAGATGCCTTGGAAAAGCCTGGAAAAGAGCGAACGAAACTTGTTTCCCAACATGGCGTTTGGAGGCAAAACGTGGTCGTGCCCAGACCACCGTTGTTGTTTGACGGGAGGGTTTTGGGCAAGCGAGGAAGCGAAAGTATGCTCCAGATTTGGCCAAGACGGAGAGAATGGCACTGGACCTGCACGACATGGATGAATTCTCCAAAAGCATATAGCGTGAAGAATGATTTCCTTTTTGTCTTTTTTGTCTTTTTGTCTTTTTGGCCTCTTTGTCTTTTTGCCTTCAAGCCCCCACGCACTCCGGCCCATTCCGTAGAATCCGAATCCCAAACGACATCCATGTTGTACGAGAGCGTGACGGCTCACATCATTGATACCTGCAAATAAGAGCTTGCACAGGTGCTCAGTGCGGCGGGCAGCTTGCGAGCACCTGCAGCGGACGCCAGGGCTAGCGCGCTGTGGCGGGTGGGACGGCACGACGAAGCACGGCGAAGCACGATAGCACTATCGGGCCACGCTAGTCCGTTTTCAATCTTGTCTGGTGCCATTGAGGCTCACATTGATGCATCCAGCGCCCTGCGCAGGGCGCCACAATGTGCCAAAGTGCGTCCAGTCAGGCTCAGGCCCATGTCCAACGGCAACGGTGGTGGACAAGCTTTCGACGCATTCAGCCAATTCGGACGCCTTCAACATGACAACCACGCCTGGCCTTGACGTCAGCCGTGCCTCGGGTGGAATCCAATGTCTCTGGTTGATCCAAACCCCCCAAGATTTGAAATATCAAAGTGCTACCATGGCAGGCGTCAAGCAGGAACAGTACCACAGAGTGCCGGCCGGCAGGAAGGGGAGGGATAAAAAGACATGGTGTCGCCTCCTGCATCCAGCGCCCTGTTCCTTGCATCTTGCATCCCCGACGTTGAACACGGAAGACGTCTTCTACATGTCTCACACAACGCTCGCTGCTGGGCCGCAAACGCCTGGATCCGCAGCGGCCAAAGAGGAAGGAAGAGAAAAGAAACGAAGCCGCACTGAGATTATGGAATCATCAGCCGCCACAACAGCCGCCACCACAACCGCCACTTCGCTCTTGGACCGCCGCATTAGAGTTCAGGCGGGCCGCAAGTCGAGCATCATGGGTCATCGATCCCTCTTTTGACCGTTTCAAGCCTGAACTTGGTGCCTTGCTCCAAGGATGACCGCCCTGCGCCATCTCCGCCATGTCGCCATTTTTTTTTTGGGAGAGCTTTCACTAAAACGACGACCGAGAATTCTCTGACCGCGTGCTTCGCATACCTGTCCCCTGTACCGCCAGACCTTTGCGCGGGAAACTAAGAAATAGTGGTCGCCAGGCCGGGTCCTCTGGGCACGTCCAAGAGGACAAGATGGCAGGCTCTGGATGAGTACCTAAGGCACCTTGGTACATATACACAAAATATGTGAGAAAGAGAGAAAGAGAGAAATCACTGCGAATAACACGGCGGTTCCTCGGCAGCAAGACAAGTCGCCTTCAAAAAGCACAGCACCTCAAACACAGCTCTACACATCTCCAGCTCCCTCCCCTTCCAGTCCGAATCCGACCACAATCCGCACAGCATGTTATCCTGGATCATCGTCCCGATGAACCGCACATGGTGGTCCTCGGCCGTCCAGGTCGTCTTGTTGGGGTGAAACACCAAGAACTTGATACTGCGAGAGCGAATGGCGTGCCTGGCCGCCTCAGCGGTCTTGTTCTTATCCGGATCGGATTCCCTGGGTATTTTTGTCACGCAGTCGCGCCAGAACTCGGTCCATGAGCCCTGGACAATGTCGCTTCTGAGCTATTCCTTGAACTTGGCTGCGTCTTTGAAGGGGAGGAGCTCGAGGACGAGGCGTTCATGCTGGACGCAAACGGTGGTGGTAGAAGGAGATGACCTCCGAGTTTCCTGTTTCATAGAGGTGTTCATGGTAGAGCCAGGTTTGTGGAATGCAGAAGCCAGGAGGTTGACATCTGGAGGGCAGAAGAATCATGCGAAGCTGAATGGCTAGGTAGCCAGACGCCTATCGCCGTGAATGGAGTGTGGTTGAGGGAGGCGGGCGGAAGAAGTGACTGGAAGTGACTTCATACATGCACATATGTTTATACAGTATGTATGCAGGCGGTCATCTACTATTCTGGCTTGAGACGCTGGAGATGTAGGCACATAAGCATGTATGCACTGATGACCACCTGCAAACAGTCAAATGAGACGGGAGGCCAAACCGTGGCTGGGCAACAAGGCAGCATAAGGCGGCGCTTCACTGTCCATGTAGATTGCTGCAATGTTGGTGTTCACTGCTGGCCCGTCAAGGGTGAGTCTGGTGCTGGGAAACACTGAATACATCCGACATTTACTCAAGTTAAGTAGATTGTGAGTCGGTCGCGTACGTCGTGGCAATCGCTTGAGGACAAGCCATTTTCGTTGCACAAGCAGCGCAGTGTAAGGAGGGTTTCATCCATCTTACATGAAGCATTTATCACAGGATAGCATGTAGTGCCTGATACTCCTGGAGCGTGCGTGTCGCGAAAAAAAGTGCAAAAACCAATCACGAATCTTTTGGTAATCTTTTTGTTCTAATTGGAACGGTGAGAAAACAGTGAATAGAGTAATAGGATCTTCTGCGAATAGGAAAAAAAAAAGCGAAAGGTAGACAGAAATTGAGGCCTGCCCGGATCGAACGGACGACCCTGTGGAAACTCCTTAACTGGAATCACATAATCTACCACTGATCTAAGGCCCCAATGGGAAGTATTGGTCTTATTTTTTAAGATATAGCCGGACACAAATTAGCGCCGCCGGCACTGCCCCAGGCTCGCTCTCTTGACGCCGTCATGCAACCTTTTTTTCAATCACGATGTCTCATCCCACGTCGCACCCACTCGCGTCGCGATGGTCCCTCTCTATCCACCCGATGCTGCCAACGGCCGCGCGGTCCGAATGGAATCGGAGCGCCGAGCGCCGGGTTTACTGCTAAACTGTTGCGCCATTAGGCGTGCAGACGGCGTGAGAGAGGCTGCATTTGGGCCGCAAATCACTTCCTCGGCTTCCATGCAGCCCGCTTACCACCACCACCACCAACAACGGGCCAACCAGATATTCACGTGGCGTGGTACAATGCGACGTCCCGATTTTCTGTGCTGACCTTTATCTGAGACACCAAGAAAACAATCAGAAGAAGGGGGAAAAAGAAAGCAGAAAAGCATGGGGTACCACGATAGTGTCTGGAACTCTGAGTGGTTCTTCATTTTGTTTCCTGTCCGTCGCTTTGTCGTTTTCTTCCTCCGCCCTCCACCCGAGGCGGGGGAACCGTTTCGAGAGGCAATTTTCTTCCTTCTCATGTGTGCTCTGGGTCTAGTTTCTGTTCTGCGAGGCCATTCTATCTGTCTTTGGCTTCGGGAATTGCCCTGCCTGTGTGTCAACGACGAGAGGTTCTTGGCTCACTCTCATTGCGAAAGCGAAACGACGTGTAAGTCAGCGTCGATAGTTGTTGACCTTGAAGTAGCTGTGATATTTCCATATCGAGAGAAGCCTCTCGAGTCATATTACAATCGACGTGATGGAATCAGTACCGGCAAATGCTCGCCGTTCCGACAGGAGCACCAGCGATCGCACCAGCCGCATCGCTGCTGCCGCCGACGACGACACGGCCGCCCTTGAGGCCATGGGCCACAAACAGGAACTCAAGCGCAATTTCTCCATGATGTCCATGCTCGGCCTCGCCTTTGCCATCATCAACACCTGGCCAGCCCTCGCCGCCTCCATTAGCCTCGCTCTCCCTTCTGGAGGCACCAGTGCCGTCATCTGGGGCCTCGTGGTCGCCGGCATCTGCAATCTCTGCCTCGCCGCCTCGCTGGCCGAATTCCTTTCCGCCTATCCCACCGCCGGCGGACAATATCACTGGGCGGCCATGATCTCTTGGAAGGCGTCCAGCCGCGCCATTAGCTACACCACGGGCTGGATCACTGTCTGTGGATGGGTTGCCCTTAGCGCCGCGGGCCCTCTCGTGGCCAGCACCTTTGTTATCAACATTGTCCAGCTCCTTCATCCGACCTACGACGCCCCGTCGTGGCACCAGTTCCTTTTTTACGTTGCCTTTGCCCTCGTCGCCCTCATCCTTAACGCTCTGCTCACGCGGTGGTTGCCCTACTTCACCAAGGCTGCTTTCTTATGGTCCGTGGCCGGTCTCCTCGTGATAGTCATCAGCGTGCTGGCATGTGCTTCGCCCAACTTCCAGACCGGGGGATTTGTGTACGGCCAGTTTATCAATAATACGGGCTGGCCCGATGGCCTTGCGTGGATGCTCGGGCTGCTCCAGAGTGCGTTTTCCCTAACGGGTGAGTTTTCTCCTCCCATATCAATTTGTCCTTATCTTTCTTTTGTCCATTATCCTTGAAGATCCCTTTCCGACCGCCCTCCTTCTTTCGTCTGATTACCATCCGCCTACTAGGTTTCGACGCAACGGCCCACATGATCGAGGAGATTCCCGACCCTCAACGCCAGGGCCCCAAAATCATGCTCTACTGCATCGGCATCGGCGTCTTCACCGGCTTCATATTTCTTAGCGGTCTTCTCTTCTGCGTGAACAACGTCGACAACGTCATATCCGCCCCCTGGGGTCCCCTCTTGCAGATTCTTATGGACGCGACCAAGAGCAAGGTCGGTAGCATCTGTCTCCTCCTCATCCCGCTGCTGTGCATGGTCTTCGCTGCCATCACCATTATCTGCACTAGCACACGCATGAGTTATGCATTTGCCCGGGATGGCGGCATGCCCTTCGGCAGCTTCTTCGCGCGCGTGCACCCCACGCTCAAGGTGCCTCTGAATGCACTCTTCTGGACCGTGGGCTGGGTTATTGTCTTTGGCTGCATCTTCCTCGGATCCAGCAGCACCTTCAGCGCCATCACGTCGGCGTCCGTGGTTGCGCTGGGCGTGACGTATGCTATCCCGCCCGGTATCAACCTCCTTCGGGGGCGCAGCATGTTGCCCGAAAATCGGCCATTTAGGATTCCCGGAGCTTGGGGGTGGGTCGTCAACATTGTAAGAGCTCATCTTTTGCAAAAGGCAATGGAAGGAAAGGGAACAAAAAGAATGAAAAAAGTGAATCAAACACAGTAGACACGAAAAGAAGCTAACACGACTAATTGGCTAGATTGGCATTCTATGGACCGCAGTAACCACCGTCCTCTTCGTCTTCCCTCCCCAGATCCCCGTCACGGCCAGCAGCATGAACTACTGCGTCGTGGCCTTTGGTGTCATGCTTGTCATCGCCGGTGCGACATGGATCTTTGACGGGCGGAAACACTACGAGGGCCCGCGGGTGATTGTGCCGGGCTTGAAGGGACGGGCCGATGCAGGAGTGGGGCCGCAACCGCCGTGCGGGGATTGCGAGTGGGAGAAGCCGCGTGAGGAAGGCGGAGTACAATGTACCAAGTTGGTGAGTAAAGTGTGAGGACGCGGCTTCTCTTGCTTGACGTATCAATATGTGTATATGCATATGTATGTAGCGTATATAACTCGGTCCATGGTAAGACTATATTGTCATGATTCCGCATCGATCCATGTGTAAGTACAGTGAATTCTGCTCTACCCAAGCTCGCGCTTTGACGGCAACACTCCCCTTTATCAAGTACATCGTGTTGTCGTCTTTGCAAACCAATTAAGCCGCGGAAGGGATTTGAAATCTTGTCGTGGTCTTCTAAGTGGGTTTGCCACTCCGCAGCCAGGGTTCACCTCACGGAGCGTTGAATATGCACATGGAAATGTGAGCAGGATCTGGGGGTTGCTATGTGTACACATGTTTGTACATACAACACGTAAGTAGGTACGTATGTCCGATATAAGCATGCGCGAGAGCTGCTAACATACTATGCCTAGGCACGTTGCAGGACAAGAGCCAAGCAACGTTACGTAGGATATCCAAGGATTTAACGGCTGAGCTCAACTGTGCAGCACGGCATTTCCGGCGGCCTACATTTACAACTTGATGCGTTGAGCGTAGAGCTGGGAGAAATCACAATTAAACCATCGAGAACACGGAGACAGAAAGATTTTTGATAGCCGATATTTGATGCATCAGAAAGTTTTTTTTTTTTTTTAAAAAAAAAAAAAAGAGAAGAAGAAGAAAGAAGAAGAAGACAAGGAAAAAGAAAAAAGTGCCGAGAAACGCACTGCCATTTGCATCGGCACGCAGGCTGTGAGAACCAAAGACGGCCTTTCATTACCATCAGGTGCATATTCTGGCGGGCCCACTTTCCTTTTTCGTAGAACAGCAAGATTCTCTCGTAAACGAATAGATATTTAGAGTGTGGGCGATCCAAGATGCCGCCACAAGTTTGCCCTCGGAAGTGAGCGACTGTGCAGTACTTGAGTTAAGGTGACAGGTCAAGTTTGAGGGATGAACGGTATACACATGAGCGAGCTTCAATGAGGAGAATCGGGGGCAAGAAAATATTTACGGCACGGGTATAGCAAGCGCATGAAGGGGTTCGTGGTGACGGCGAGAGGGGCGAGGGACGAGTCTCTGCAGCGATTATTTGAATCGCGAACACTTGTACAGCTGTACAATGTGCGTATGATAGAGGCCAGAAAACCAGCAGCGATTAGGAGAAGACGGACGGCCCATAGCGTCGTGGTTGTTGTTCTTGTAAACATCGTTTTCAACGTGAGGCGCCGCACAAAGTTATCCGTCCACCATCTCGAATTCAGCATCCATTTTTTTTGTGGGCGCTGGTTGGAAGACTATCTTGGCATGAGCTGGTCGATCAGCGGGAAATGATCACGGACCACAACAGAACCGGGCAAAGGCGGGTTGATTCTTCTTTTTCATCTCATCCTTGTTTATTGTGCCCAGCACCTGATCACATTCTAACCAAAGAGTCTGTAATAGACGAGTCACCGATTGTGGTTGTACAAGTCTAGGTCGACGGAAATGGATGTACGTGTCAACTTTACCTATCTGCCACCCCGTCCATCAGACAAAGTCACGTTCCCGCTTCTAAATGAAGGTCACGAGGTCTGTGTTCAGGCTCTTGTCTGCCCCATTCAGATTCCGCTGGTGTGTGGCCGTGGCCGTCTCATTTTGCCCGCAAACCATTGATGGTGGATTGGCGTCGCGGCTGAAACCTGTGACATTCGAGATATGGAGCAACGTAATTGCTATCTAGAATAGAGTGCTATCTGCATACAAAATGTGTGTGATGGGTATCTTAGGCGAGATGCCTGAGATATGAGGCTGATACTAGGGCAGCGCGGACCGAGGGTTCCGGCTAAGGTGGAACCGAGGAATTCCGTGATGTTCAACAAAACTACAACTCGATGGTGGTTGGTTCTGTTATTTCGGACAAGGGTCTGATCCATCTCCTGGAGAGATCTGGGGCTCGACCACTTTCGACGGCTGCAAGGGTTTCAAGATGCAGGGTGGTGCAGCCTGCGCGCTTGCATCAGACCTCGCACCAGTTGTGGTGAATAACAAAAGGCAGGCACGACCAAGCGACATCTGCACGGTGGGAGCAGATGCTTAAACCAGTCCCTCAGCTGGCACCAACTGACAGCCCGGACGATTGATCCGCCAGCCAGCCTGGTCAGCTGACACTAGAACAGTCGACAACTTGGCTATCTGCGTCTCGTCAACTGTGAGCCGTCACCCGCACCATGGCCAAATGAGCTCGCTGAGCACCTTCATTGCCAGGGGCGTTCCGCAACACGACGTCCAGAAAACGCACATATCCCGGAGCTGTGGCC